TCACTGGCTCGACATAATTGAACGGTGGCTGCGTTATGGTCCAGCTCCGTTCTCAGGCCCCCCCGTTCCTTGCGGGGCGCGCGCTGGAGCTGTCGCCCCTGCGTGTATCCGCATGCCAAGGTATAGGGCATTGAGGTCCAGTTCCTCGCAAGAGCCCCCCCCGTTCCTTCGGCCGCGCGGTTTGGAGCTCACTGGCTCGACATAATTGAACGGTGGTTGCGTTATGGTCCAGCTCCAATCTCGGGCCCCCCCGTCGTCGCCCCAGCATGTATCCGCGTGCAGGGGTGGGGGCATTAGTTCTTTATGCCACACCTTAGGTGAAGACCTTCACTGTACGCCTGCATACTCATTTTGTGCTTTGCATCCGTGGGTTTTCATATTTCTGAAACACGTGGCCGCCCAAGGCCTTTGCACTTGGTCACCCCTGGGGGCGCGAAGATTATTGCGCCTCGCGCGTCGCGGCCCGGGCAGGAGAGCCGCCCTTGTCCAGGGCGGCGGCGCGGGGGCGTGAAGTTCACCGCGCGTCGCGCATCGCGGGGCGCGATAATCCTCGCCTATCTACAAGTTTGTACACGTAAGGCTCCGCGTGCGCCGGTTGGTTGGTTAAGTCCAGTGTGTTGGTTGGCTGGTGCGCCGGCTGGTAGGCAGGTTGGCTGGTTGAAGAGCCTTTTCAAGGAGGCCGACGGAGGCCGGGTCACCCGCGCGCGCGCGTGGGGAGTTCTGCATTGTCTACAATATAAAAATCAACATGTTATTCCCGAAACTACATCTGATTTTTTCTGGAGCCCTTTGAGGGGGCCGACGGAGGCCGGGCCACCGGCGCTTGCGCGCGCCGGAAAAAAGTTTGCATTGTCCAGAATATAGAAGTCGACATGTTATTCCCGAGACTAAATTTGAATTTTTCTGGAGCCTTTTCAGGAGACCGACGGAGGCTGGGTCACCGGCGCTCGTGCGCGCGGGATGGTTCTGCTTGTCCAGAATATACAAGTCGACATGTAAGTGCCGCGTTTGAACATGTCTTTTTGTTTTTGTTCTGTTCTGGAGCCCTTTGAGAAGGCCGACGGAGGCCGGGTCACCCGCGCGCGCGCGTGGGGAGTTCTGCATTGTCTACAATATAAAAGTCGACATGTTGTTCCCGAAACTAAATCTGATTTTTTCTGGAGCCCTCTAAGGAGGCCGACGGAGGCCGGGTCACCGGCGTTCGCGCGCGCTGGAGAGTTCTGCATTGTTCAGAATATAAAAATCAACATGTTATTCCCAAAACTAAATCTGAATTTTTCTGGAGCCCTTCAAGGAGGCCGACGGAGGCCGGGTCACCAGCGCTCGCGCGCGCGGGATAATTCTGCATTTTCCAGAAGTCGACGTATAAGTGCCGCAACTGAAAATGAACTTTTCTGGAGCCTTTTGAGGAGGCCGACGGAGGCCAGGTCACGGCCGTTCTTCGGCCAATGCTCCTCCCGCTTGCGCGGCGGTTAAGTTCGCGCTTCTCCAGGCCGCGCGCTGCTTTGTATAATGAGTGCGTTTCTCAGTCCCGCACGTTAAGCTCCAAGCCCAACATGCGCGCGGATATTGTGGGGAAGCCGTCTGGCGCTCCAGAAAGCAACATCGCTTGCGGACCCGCGCGTTTGAGATGATGAAACCTTGCACTAGGGAAAGGGGGGGCGGTGGCGGAAGCTCCAGCGGCATGGGGGCCCTTTCGCGGCGCGGAAGTGCGCGTCGGCATTCGACAATTCTCCTTGCGGCACCCGTGGGGCGCGGAGCCCGTTCGGGTGCGTTTCCGGGCTGGCTGCTGGGCAATATACCGCGATCCGCTTTCTTTGTTTCCATTTACAGATGATATTGTATATATACATATATATATATATATATACATATATATATATATATATAGAAAGAGAGAGATAGAGAGAGAGAGAGAGAGAGATGTTTGCGCTGCCGTCAATTATGTTAGCCGCGCCCTGGTCTAGCTTGTACCCGTCGCGGCTCAAAAGTTTGGCTCGCTACGTGCACGTGCGTGTGTGTGTGTGTGTGTGTGTGCGCGTGTGTGTGTGTGTGTGTGCGTGTGTGTGTGTGTGTATGTGTGTGTGCGCGTGCGTGTGCGCGTGCGTGTTTGCTTCGATTTTAGCGCGCCCGCGCGCGCTGTGGTTACGCAGCGCCGTCCTCAAAGTTGGACGGAAACAAATGTGATTGCGACGCTTTCGAGTGATGTCGCGACAGGTGTGCGCATCGCCGTGCAGCGGACTGTTTTTCCCGCGCTCGTAGCGTTTGCGCTTGCGCGGTGGACGCGCTCGCGCGTTGAAGCTTGCGCCCCCTCAAGGCGCGCGCTGCCCTAGAGAAGCGGCTGCTTTCTCACTCGCGTACGCCGCGCGCCAAATCCAACATGTGCGCTGTTTGTTTCGGAAACCCTTTGGGCGTTGTACCAATGAGCATCGCCTGGGGTTTCCCGCTTTTGAATCGATGACACATCGCCCCATGGCAAAACATGCCTGGCAAAAATCAATGCCCCGTGGAATTCTGAAAATTGCAAAGCAGCCGATGGCAAAACAGGCCGTGCAAAAATCAGTGCTCAGCGGAATTTTGAAAATTTCAAGGCGCTTCGTCTGTCAAATTCGTTTTTTTGTGTTTTCATTCCGCGGGCCAAGAAGTTAACAGCCATGGCCTGTGAATGGTCGCTGTAGGAGACCCCCTCACTAACATATGTCCTAGAGTTTAGGGCCACGGTCGTAAGATATTTGGCAGGCAGGACTGGGGACAGGATCCGAGGTGTCTGGCACTTTTGAGCCAGGAGGGGAGTGTATCGGGCGGGCCAGGAGGTGAGGATGTGGGGCAAGCAGTTCCGGGCCAGGGAGTTAGGATATCTGGCTGGTAATTTCGGGACACGGGGTGAGGCATGGGCCACGGGGTGGGGACATTTACGTAGCTGGCCGTTTTGAGCCAGGGTTGATGAGCTCTAGCGCCAGGGAGTGGAGATATCCGGCTGACAGTTTTAGGCCATATGTTGTGTGTTGCCCGTTCGGTGCCGTGTCGCACCCGTTGCTGTGTAAGGCCGTCCCGAACTCGTTGCCCGCTCGGTGTTAAGTACTGCCGTGTTGAACCGGTTGTTTGTGTGGTGGTCTTGTGATGTTGATGTGGTGCCCAGGTAGCATTGTTACAAATCTGGCGCCCGTGTCTTGCCGTGCCGAACACGTTGTTCAGTCTGTCATATGGTGCCCCGCAGGTCGATTTCGTTGCGCGTGCGATGTTGCGTAGTGTGGTTGGTGGATGACTAGAAGCGTTTTCTCAGAACGCGTTTTTCGTCGGGGATTTTTGCGGAACATCGTCGAGCGTATTGGACCTGAGTTCGAGTATTGTTGTACCATCTTGGAACCAATGTGTGAAGGAACGATAACATGTCCATGCCCCTAGGAAGTCCCAAGTCTTGTGAAAAGGTCCACATCTGTGCCCGTCGTGGAAGCCCTGGGACCTCCGCCGCCAGCCTTGGCCGAACACACATGCTATCGTGCGCAACAGTGGGCAGAAGGCGCTGCCGGCCCGGCGAGCCAGTAGGCTTGCGGAGTGGTTCTGGAGCGGAGAGCGGGAGTCGCCATCATGCGCACGTGGCATCTTTGGAACATGCACAGCGCGCGCCGGCTTTTTTTACGCTGCATCTTCGGGGGGTCTCGCCTGTCCCCAAAGATTGGTGTCTTCTCTCGTGTACGACGCTGGCTCGATGCGAACTCGGCGCGGATTTGGCGCGGATTCGGCGCGGTTTCGACACCGATTCGACACGGATCCAACGAGTCCGACGTGGATTCGACGCAGGTTCGACGCGGATAGGGCCGCGACGGGACAGATAAGGTCCCCTGAGGATGCAACATTAATTGTTTCGAGCACAGCGCGCGCTGGGATCTTGAACGCCGCACGCAGCTAGCCCCTGTCGAGCCGGAGCCCCATCGAGGGGCGCCAGTTTCGTGATCTCCGAGTCGTGCTTTCGGGGGAGCGCAAGACCGGGGTTTGCCAGGACTCGGGTTCGCCATCGTTTTTTGACGACCGCGCCTCGGACTTTGGCGAGGAGGAGCGTCGTGGGATGTCTGCAGCGGGAGGCCTCGTCAAAATGCAGGCTCGGCCTCGTCATTCTTTTGACGACCTCGTCGGGGATTTCCGAGTCCCCTGTACCCAGGTCTTACGTCCCCCTGAAATAAGGACGCGCGATTTTGCTCAGGGTACCCTCGCGTCCTTGCTCTTCCTTGCTCTAGCGGCTCGTCCTTGGCCTCTTTCGCTTGCCCGCTTGTCAGGTTTTCGTCGTCCGCCGCCCCAGAAATCCCAGCTTCGGCTTCCAAGGGTCTTACGTCCCCCTGGTGCTTGCTCGCGTCGACCGTGGTAGACTGGTGGTGGCAGCGGTGGTGTCGACGGATCGGTCTCGGCGAGGCAGCCGTCGGCGACGAGCCCCCCCGGGGGGGGAAGGTACACCGTAGGCGATGCTTAAGAAAGCTTGAGTTTTCGGCCAGAGTCTCGATTCTTCTTAACGTTTCAATGTAAACCCCAAGATTTTAATCGAATTTTTGCGTTTTTTAATGCAAGTTCTGAGGCCATGAATTTCTTAACCCATGATTTCTTAACCGTTTCGCGTGGTGTAGAGAGGCGGGCCCGCTCATCAGGCGGCTCAGGAGGCCCAGGGCCTTCTGAGACGTGCTGTGCAATGCCCTGTCCGAAGACGCAGGAGGCTCTTCTGAGCAGGGCTGGACCTGAGCGGTGTCTTGGCCATCTCGTGGGCCGTTTTGTTTCTCGTTCTACTGTGCATGCAAGGCGAAGCGAAGGCAAAACGAGGAAGAACGAACTACACAACGAAAACGACACTCACACACACACACACTGTTCAGGTTCAGCCTTGGCTTCCGAGACGGCGGGGATTCTGAGATGCCCTGCTACCTTCTTACAAAGGCTTGGCGCCTCTCTGCTTTCCCCCCAGGCTCGCCGCCGAAAAACTGTGCACAGCGGCTCTGGGCATGGAAGCTCCGCAGGTGTCGAAGATCGCCGCGGCGAAGTTCCCCGACGTGCTCGCGGAGTGTGCACGGGGCTTCTGCGAGGCGGCCGGGGGCGAGGCCGTTCCTCAGGACCTCCGCGGAAGGGGCGGGGGCCGATCCCTGCCATCCTCTTGCCCTGGTGTTCCTCCTGTTTCTCTTCCCGGCTCCATCCATTTTCCTCCTCCTGCCATTTGCTCTTCTTATCGCTGTTCTTCCTCTCCCTCTTCTTCCTCAAGTGCAGTTTCCGGTTGTCTTTGAGCCGGTTGTCTTTCTCCCCCTCAGGTTGCAGCCGGTTGTCTTTCTCCCCCTCAGGTTTTTCGTTTCGGGCGCACCGACGATACCGAGTTCTAGTAGCTTTGGGGGGGGAAGTGGCCTGCGCAGGCTGCCGCCAGCCCCCAGAGAGTAGCAGCTGAGAGACCGAGATTCTTCAGCTACAGTCCATCCGCTCCATAAGGACGGGCAACCTTCCCAAGGGTACCCCTGCATCTTGGCCCCTTCGGCTGGTAAGGGGACAAACATGTGGAACCCTGCTTGGCATCGCTCGGACGTGCGCATTTTTCCTTCGGCGAGGGCCATCGAGGAGCATCCTTAATCATGTGGCGAAAAAGCACGCACGAAACCGAACAAAAACACACGGAATGGACGTCCGAGCGATGGCGAGCCTGTCGTCGTCGACACCACGTTCGCCCCCCCCCCCTTCCCCAACTCAAAGTTGGGCTCCGGCATGGTGGAGGCCCCGGGGGCTCCACTTTTTGTTGTACTCTCAAGCCTGTGCTCTTGAATGCCTGGGATCAGCCTCGAATGTCTTGGGATCGCTCGGACGTGTGCATTGTTCCTTCGGCGTGGACCATCGAGGAGCATCCTTGAGCATCTGGCGAACAAGCCACGCACGAAGCCGAACAAAAACGCAGGGAATGGACGCCCGAGCGATGGCGAGATGTGTGGGGGGAGGGGAGGGGCCAGAGCCACGGGTTACGCTTCTGTGTCCACCTGCGGGCCCGTTCGTAGCGACTCTCGCTGGCCAGCCTCGCTCGAAGACGTGCGCGTCGGCCTCCGAGCCCCCCTTGCGCCGCCACCGCGCCTCCTCGCACGATGCGGGGGGACTGCCTCGCCGCTCGTTTCCCCCCCGGGGGCGCGGGCGAGCACCTGCTTTGAAGCGGCCACGCCCCGCTCCTCTTAGCTCAGGAGGGGAAGAAACACACAGACACAATGAATCGTCGACTCCCCAGAAACTATGGAAAATATGGGCAGTGGGGGGGAGACAAAAACCCAGAAAATATGGGGAAATATGGGGAACATTTTTATTTGTGTGTATTCATTTGTGTGTCCCAGGGCCCCTTCATTAGCGCCAGCCCAGAGCCACCTGGGGAGCATCCTGGGTTATGATGTTCCAACCGACTTTTTAGCTTCGACCACGAGGAATTATTTCGAGCCCCCAAGGATTTCCGAAGCTCAGGGGCTTTCACGTGCCGGGCCCTGGGAGACACTCGCCCGCCTCTGTTTACCCTCTTTCGACACTCCTTCGACACTCTTCCGGGTGCCCGAAATTGTTTCTGGGATGTGGTCCTCAAGTACGATGGGAGCTACATAAATCTTGGGCCCGTTCTGCGGCTGCGCGGGGGGCCTCGGCAGAGAGCGCGCGGACTCGCGCGGGACCTGGGGGCCGAGCGGGCGGCGGCGACGGCGCCGCGGCGGAGGAAGCCGGCGGCGGGAATGGGCGCGCGCAGAGAGGCAACGAGGAGAACGGCGGGCAGATCGGTTCGACCACGGTCGCGAAGATGCCACTTTTGGTCGGGCCGGACGAAAGGGGGGGATTGGGAAAGGGGGGGTTACAAAATTTGCTGCATGCAGCTGGTTTCGGCCCCGCCGAGGGGCCCATTCCTCGATACATGGGCGCCTCCCGGCGCCGGGAGGCGCCGGAAAAATCAGCTACGTGAGCTGATTCTCAAACCCCCCCTTTGCTATCCCCCCCTTTCGCCCGACCCGATTGGGGTGGAGGCGGTGGGGCGGGGACGCCAGCGGATGGAGGCGCGCACCGGCGCGCGCTCGAAGAGAGCAAGGAGGGGAGGGCGGCCGGGCAGCGACGGCGGGCTGTGCGAGCGCATGCGCGTGGCTCAGCCCGATGCGTCCTGGAGGCTCGGGTGTGCTATCTCGCGGCCCCTTCGCTCTTTCGGTCGTGCTCCGACGGGGAGGTCGCCGCGTAGGCTGGTGCTCCTGGCGCCGCGGCGCCCGGGGCGCAGGGTGCTCCTCGGAGACGGCCCGTGGCTGGCAGCCGTTCCCTGTTTTGCTGGCGCAGGGCGCGAGCGGAACTGTGCTGTGGCGATCTCGTGGGTCGTTTCCGTTTTGACATCGCTTCGCAGCACATGCGGAGCGACGACCGAGCGAGGGAACTCGAAGCACACAACGATCAGAGACAACATGGTTTAGCTCGCGCCCTGGTGCGCTGGCATGAGCCGGTGCATCTGCGTAGATGGCGCATGGCGAGCTGTGCGGACTCCGCACCCCTCGGTATCGGGGGAGCGTAAGACCCGGGTTCGCCAGGACTCGGGTTCGCCATTTTTTTTTGACGACCGCGACTCGGATTTTGACGAGTAGGAGTTTCGTGGGATGTCTGCAGCGGGAGGCCTCGTCAAAATGCAGGCTCGGCCTCGTCATTTTTTTGACGACCTCGTCGGGGATTTCCGAGTCCCCCGTACCCGGGTCTTACGTCTCCCCGACGGTATTCTTCTGCATGTGTGTATCGGAGGTTGGGGGTCAGGAGGAAAAGAAGCACACAGACACAATTAATCGTCGATTCCCAGGAAAATATGGGAAACTATGGGAAGTGGGGGGGAAGACAAAAACCTAGAAAATATGAGAACATACGGGGAATCCTTTTGTTTGTGTGTATTTATTCGTGTGTCCCAGGGCCCCTTCAGGGGGGTGAGATAGCAGTGGAGCGGACAACCCCCAACCGCGAAGTCGGCTTCGGTTTCGTGTTCGGAATCGTGCGTGCGGGCGAGGCGCAGCTGCGTGGGCCTGCGGCGGGAAGGGTGCCACCGTGGCCAAGGGGCCGTGGAGCCGTTCGACCGCCCCGACCCTGGACGCGCGGTGGCCCAGGGTGCCCCCGCCAGTGGTGCAGGGGTGCCCCGTCGGTGGTGCAGGGGTGCCCCGTCGGCGGGTCGGCGGTGCGGGGTCGCCCCGTCGGTGGCAGGGGCGGCCCGTCGGATGCGCGATGGCGAGATCGATCGTGGGATCGATAGTGGAGTCTACAGTGATATCGGTAGTGAGGCCAGCAGTGAGATCGACAGTGAGATCTGTGGTGAGATCGATTGTGAGAACGATCGATACCCCGTCGGTGGCGGGGGGGGCCCGTCGGTGGCGCAAAAGGGAGATCGATAGTGAGATCGATAGTGAGATCGACAGTGAGATCGATGGTGAGGTCAATAGTGAAATCGATCGTGAGGTTTGTGGTGAGATCGTTTGTGAGATCGACAGTGAGATCGATCGTGAGACCGATTGTGAGATCGATCGTGGTATCGATCGTGAGGTCGATTGTGAGACCGATTGTGAGAAAGATGGTGAGATCGATGTGAGTGCGATAAGTGTATCAAGAGGGGGATACAACGGTGGCGCCCTGACTGCACCATCAGCATCGTCGCGCATCGTCGTTGCTTCGTCGCGTTCAAGGTCGTCGAGGTTATCGTCAGTCGGTTGCCCCTCCCCCTCAAGGGGTGGTCGTCAGTGCTTGCTGGGCGATACCTGCCAACGTGACACCGCGCGTCACGAGGACTCTCTTCGACTGCGCAGGCGCATCTGCGTGAGCACGGACGGGCCCAACAGCCCGTTCCTCCACTCCTCCTCCTCCTCCTCCTGCTCCTCCTCCTCCTCCTCCTCCTCCTCCTCCTCCTCCTCCTCCTCCTCCTCCTCCTCCTCCTCCTCCTCCCTCCTCCTCCCCCCCCCCCCCCTCCTCCTCCTCCCCCCCCCACTCCTCCTCTCCTCCTCCTCCTCCTCCTCCTCTTCTTCCTCCTCCTCCTCCTCCTCCTCCTCCTCCTTCTCGGGATGGAAAGGAGAGAGGTGGTGGCGTTTCGGTGCTCCCCGTCGTCGGCGGCAGGAGGGCGACGGCAGGCCCAGGGCGAAGGCTGCGAGGGCCGAGGCGGACCGCCAGTCGGAGATCGCCGGCAAGTCTTTGCACCAGGCCATGTTGAGGACGATGGGTCGGGGGCGAGAACGTGGGGGCTTTGGTAGCAGGTCGGGAGTCTGGTGTACCCTCGTCCGTCTTTATCGTCGATTAGCCTCTGGGAGTCGATGATACGGCGCCAATTCAGCGTCGGCTAGCCTCGATTGGGTGTCGATTAGCGTCGATTTGCGTCGATGGGCGTCGATTCGCAAGAGCCGACAGGATGGCGCGGGAGGCTCCCATGAGCTGCCACCGAAGAGGGGGGACAGGCATGGGGGCGGGCGCAGCGACCCCCCCCATCGCCCACAGATCGCTGATGGGGGCCCGATAGCCCCACCCCGCCCAGGAACGTGCGGATTCGTCGTCGAGAGCCTCTCGCCGATTTGTCGAGGATGTGTCGCCGATTCCAGCTTGATGTTTCCCCCCTCTTAGAAGAAAAAGAAAAAGAAGCCGCGTAAACATACACTTTGGGCGCTCCGCGCGGATATCCTAGATCCGCGCTGAGGCCCCCCGGCGGCGCTTCCGGCGCCGCCTCTGGCGCGCTCCGCGCGCCAGGAAGGGGGGTCCAGCGCGGATCCAAGAAATCCGCGCGGAGCGCCGAAAGTTTATGTTAATGCTGGTGTTCTTCTAGTATCGCCGATTCCAGGTCGATTTTGTTCCCAATGCCAGCCCCCCACCCCTCTCGTTGCCCCTCACCGTGTTGCTTGAAAGCTATGGGCCAAGCATCCACCGCCCCCTCGCTGCCGCGCCGCGCCTGTGCTCGGGGGGCGCGGGGTCCAGGCATCGTTGCCAAGAGGTTTCTCAGACACGTGGGAGCGCGGACCTTTCACTACGGTCGACGCTCCGACACCTGTGCAGCTCGGGATCGCCATGCAGTGTAGGCACATACAGCGACGGCTCAGTGCAGTATTGTATTGTATCGTATTGTCGGGGCCTGAGAGGCAAAAGAAAAGGACCGACGGGCCTCCAGGGGCCTCCACTTAGGAGGCGAAAAAACACACAGACACAATTAATCGTCGATTCCCAGAAAATATGGGCAGTGGGGGGGAAGACAGAAACCCAGAAAATATGGGGAAATATGGGGGATCTTTTTATTTGTGTGTATTTATTTGTGTGTCCCAGGGCCCCTTCATCCATGCCACCCGAGACACGCCCTCCCGAGAGGGGCCGCCCAGGGCCTCCTCTCCCCGCGGGGCCGCTCCGGGCCTCCGCCGCGGCCTCCAGGGGTCGGCTGCCGAACGCGTGACGAAGCCGAGCCACCCTGACCACTAGCGACTCACACGAACAAGACGCTAATACCAACAGACACAATTAATCGTCGATTCCCCAGAAAATATGGGAAAATATGGGAAGTGGGGGGGAAGACAAAAACCCAGAAAATATTGGAAAATATGATAATATTTTTATTTGTGTGTATTTATTTGTGTGTCCTGGGGCCCCTTCAAATACAGAGCCCGCGACTGTACATAGGTGAAGTCGGAATCGCTAGCAACTCACTCACTGCGTCCAGGCTCACGGCACGCTACCTGCTCCTTCTTCCAAGCACCTTCACGGCCTAGGGCCGTCGGGTGGCCGCCGCAGCGCTCCCGACCGCACCCCGTTGCCGCTACTGGCTTACCCTTCTGAGCTTTCGCGCCCTGGTCGCAGTCCCCCACGGCGAGGAAGCTCTCCATGGAGGCCAGCACTCCGACTGCGTGACGCAACACATCAAGAGGCCGTGACGAGAAGCCGAGGCCAGCCTCGCGGAGGAGGGACAGCATCGCGTCCTCGTCGCCGACGGCCACAGCATCTGCCAGGAGCGGGAATACGCGCTCAGCAATGCCACGAAACGACTCCAACTCGTCCCTGATGATGGTGCCGACAACATGGCGCCTGCTGCCCGGGCAGCGGCCCTGGGCCTGCCAGACGCCGACCGCGCAGCGCGGGCCGTCTGGGGTGTCAGCAGACCGCTTGCCGCCGCCGCCGCCGCCGCCGCCTCCCTCCGAGGCGTCCTCGGCGAAGACTCCGTCCTCGGTGCTGGCGCGGCCGACGATGCCCTTCTCGATGCACTCGCCGACGGACTCGGGGCACCGCCATCCGCACGCCAGCCACTCGCGCGGGCAGCCTCGGCATGGGCGTCCAGCGACGAGCACGTGGCGGCTGGTCTGGGTGCCGCCCGCGGTCCCCCGACCGCCATCGATGCAGCGAGTGGCCCCTCGACGTTGTCCCGACCCCGACGCATTCCCATGCCCACCTCTCCCGAAGCCGCGTTGGTCCTCGCTCTCTTCCTTTTTCTTTCTTGCAGGTTAGGACGCGGCCACGCTGCCACGAGTGCGCAGCGGCAGGTCCTCGGCCCCCGCGGCGGGTCCAGGTTTTGGTCCTCCTCCTCCTCCTCCTCCTCCTCCTCCCTCCTCCCTGCTCCTCCCTGCTTCTCCCTGCTCCCTGCTCCTCCCTGCTCCTCCCTCCTCCCCCCCCTCCCCCTCCTCCTCCTCCTCCTCCTCCTCCTCCTCCTCCTGAGCTCCCCGGCTGTGTGCCACGGGCTCTCGCGCAGACTCGGCGGCCGAGGATGGACGAGGAGCTGCGGAAGCTGGGCGGCAGCGGGAGCGTCGCCGTGAGGCCCCCGCGGGGTCTCGCGGCCGAGCGGCTGGAGCTGCACGAGAGGCGCAACGCCTTCAGCCTCACAGGCCTGCGCGGGTCTCGAATCCTCCTCCTCCTCCTCCTCCTCCTCCTCTCCTCCTCCTCCTCCTCCTCTCCTCTCCTCCTCCTCCTCCTCCTCCTCCTCCTCATAGGCCTGCACGGGTCTTGAATCCCGTGGGGGGCCAGCCTCGCACATCTCGTGCAAGGCGCTACTCCAGATTTCGTAATAAAGGGAGGGGGTCTGGACCCTCCAAGACAAGCCATTTCAGACCTCCCCCGTGGGAGAACCCTCCAAAACATCGTCCCCAGACCCCCCAGGCCCTCCAAGATAGCCTGGAAGAGACCCCCCCCCGAAATGAGACCCCCCTCCCTTTATTACGAAATCTGGAGTACCGTCCCGTCCTCTCCTCTGTCTCCGGTCCTATGCAAATTGTCTCACACATCATCCACCGTCATCACCAGAAGGCCATCTCAGATTGACACTCTGCTGAGGCTCGCCTTCCTGAGCTCCCCAGCGGCACGAGCGCCCCCCCCATCATGGAGCCTGCTCCTGACAGGCGGCGCGCCCTGTGGGGGGGGAGCACCTCAGGAGTGGAAAAACACAGACACCAACACGTGTCGATTCCCCAGAAAATCTTGGAAACTGTGGGAAGTGGAGGGGGAGACGAAACTCCAGAACACATGGGACGCACGGGAAACCCTGGGACTCGTGTAGATTTACGCGTTTGTCCACAGGTCCCTTCGGCTCCCTCTTCCCCGTACCACTCCCTCACGCGTGCTTCTCGGGGTCAGCCCGGAGGCCTTCCGCAGACCAACTTGAGCCAAGGTTGCCCTCGAGGGCGCGAAGTGATTCGCGCCTCGCGCTTCGCGGTTCGGCTCCGATTCCTCCTCATCCTCCTCTTCTCCCCTGGGAGGCGGCGTGAGAGCGCAAAGTTGTTCGCACTTCGCGCTCCGCGCAGCGCGAGAGCGCGAAGTTGGAAGCCCTTGTCGAGCCATCTCCAGCCAGATTTACGTCTGGCCCGTCCCTCTACCGGAGAATCTCCAAAAACATAATAGTTGGGTATGTTTTTATGTTTCGTCCAAGATCCCCCTGTAGGCGGGCAGGCCCGACCCAACGCCACATCGGCGCAAGCTGCAAGGCCATACCGGCGCGCCACCGTGCCAGCCGAGGCGCTCTTCTGAGGAGCGGCCGATAGCAAGAGGCCACGAGGCACGGGAGGCCGCCGCGAACGACACACACACACACACACACATATCGGGTCTCCCCGGAGCACGGGGGAGAGCCACCACGAGGGCAATTCGTTCGTGCTTCGCGCATCCATACCAGCCTTGTGGAGGACGATTGATGGAGAGGAAGCAGGCTGCCACATAATTTCCAGATGTCTAAAACATGTGTTAAACATGTTTTAAGCATGCAGAGCATATGTTTCGAACATTTCCCGACCCTTTAAATACATTTTTAAAGTCACTGATAGGACTGTCAGGTTGTCCATTGTCGTGGCATCCACAACACCAGCCCATTCGCAGGCGGCACTTCGCGGGCTGGACGGCACTGCTGTACAGTCGGGGCGTTGAAGAAGGAACCTTTTGCCTTGGGGAGGGGCTCGGTGTTCTGTAATTGTTCCACACCTTGCCTAAGGTTTTCCTTACGTTTTCGATGGGAAGTCGAAGTTTCAGGTATGGAAAAAAGGGGCCTCGCTCCTTATTTTGGGTTCCTTAGGTCAACGCCTCGACTGTGCTGCCTCCGCCGCCCGCTGTGGTCCGCGTCCGCGTGCCACACGGGGTGCCGCGCCCCGCGCCGGGCTTGGCTCGCGTCCTGCTTTTGCCTCTGCAGGTTGCCAGCGCTCCCCTGCTTTCGGGGGCGGAAAAGAGGGGGGTGATGACTAGGGGGGGGTGGATATCATGGCGAGGGCCATGATATTTCCCCAGATTTCGTGGCGCCCCTTCTGATTTCCTTACGTCCCTGGTCCCCCCGCTGGGCCGCGCACATGCCGCCGGTCATGATTTGCACCCCCCCCTCTTGGACGCCCCCCTCTTTGCCGCTCCCGATGCTTGCTCGGCGTCCGAATCGTTTCGTGCGCCCGCGGCCCAAACTCACCGCCCACCAAAACTACCCCAACCCAACCCGAAGGCCACGATTTGCCCTCCATTTCCAGTGGGGGGGGGTCGGGAAACATCGAAAAAACCCCGAAATTCGGGTCTTCGGGTTGGGTTGGGTTGGGGTGGTCTGGTAGGTAGTCACAAACAGTATCCCGTCATCGTCGCCGTCGGGCTCCCCTTCCGCTTCGGCGATCAGTTCCCTCCTGAGCGTGGTCCCCCAGCCGCTGCGAGGTGCCGTCCGCGCTGTTCTGGCCGCGATGAGCTCCGTCCCGCTCCCTGCCTGGCGTAGCTCGCACCTCTCTTTGTCCTTGTGCCGGCGGCACAGCCATGCCCCTGCATGCCCGGCGTTCGACTCGTTTCGCGCGCCCGCATACTCCAGATTTCGTAATAAAAGGGAGGGGGTCTCAACCCTCCCAGACGAGAAGTTTTAGACCCCCCCCCCCCGTGGGAGAACCCTCCAGAACACCGTTCTAGACCCCCCCAGGCCCTCCAAGATAGCCTGGAAGAGACCCCCCCCGAGATGAGGCCCCCCTCCCTTTTATTACGAAATCCGGAGTACCTTTTAAAACAATATCCCCGCCAGCCCGCTCGGAAACCTTGCCCGGGAGAGCTGACGGGGCAGGAGGCGGGGGGACCCACCTCGTGGAGCGAAGCGGACAGCCAGGATGAACAGAGACACGTCTTGGAGCAATGGGGGTGGCATTGGAGGAGGAGGAGGAGGAGGAGGAGGAGGAGAGGGAGGAGGAGGAGCAGGAGGAGGAGGAGGGGGAGGAGGAGGAGGGGGAGGAGGAGGAGGAGGAGAGGACGAGGCAAGCCGCTTCCTGGGGTCCTCTGTGGGGCGCTCTTGGTGCGCTCCTGGGCGCCCCTGGGGCCCGTTTTGGTGCCCTCCTGGGGGCCCTCTTGGGGTTCTCTTGGGCCCCCTTGGGGGCCCACCGCCGCAACGCGGACCGTAACATGTGGGCCGTAGCTGGAGCTCCTGACGGGGCCACGAAGCGTGTGAGTGGTGCTCCGGAATGGGCACGCGGGGGGCAGATACAGGGATGGGAGGGGGAAGGAAGAGGATGAAGGATGCGAAGGAAGAAGAAGTGGGGCGCTTCTGATACAAAACGCGGACCCAATTCAACACGGGGTGGTTGTGACGAAACATGTTCATGACGACAATATTGGGGCCCATGGTTGCGACGGCAAGGGCGATTACAGTGATAGTAATGCGGATGATGGTGGTGTGTGTTGATGCCGATGGTGATGCTGATGCGGATGGTGAGGATGATGATGGTGTTGGTGATGGTGATGCTGATGACTAGTATGATGGTCGTGAGATTGATGAGGACGATGATGATGGCGATGGCGATTGTGATGATGATGGTGTCGATGGCGATGGCGATGACTATGATGATGATAATGAAGATGCCCATGAATATGGTTATCATGAATATGATTATGATGATGAAGATGATGCTACTGATGATGATGATGACGATGATGAAAAGTATGATATGACTGCTGATGTTGGTAATGCTGATGGTTATCACTATGATGGTGATGCTACTGAAACGGTTGATGATGATGATGAGGATGAGGATGAAGATGAGGATGATGATGATGATGATGATGATGATGATGATGATGATGATGATGATGATGATGATGATGATGATGGTGGTGGTGGTGGTGGTGGTGGTGGTGTGATGATGGGGTACATGGTGATTATGGCGATGCAGATGCTGATGTTGAGGACGACGTCGATTATGAAGACGGTCATAGTGACGATTCTGAGGATACGGATGCTGATGATCATGGTGACGGTAACGATGGTAATGACTATCATCATCGTTTACATTGATAATGAGTTTGGTTCTTTCCTGTCAATCCGGCGACCGCCTTTCAGGCTACTGGAGAGCCCCCATTTTTCCCGAGAGAGCCCCAAGAGGAGCTCTAGAGGACACAAAGACGGCTCCCAAAACGACCCAAGCGATCTCGAAGAGCCCAGCCTGACGGTTTCGAAGGCGTCAGACGGGCCAAAGACGCCCTATGACAGCCTGCGAAGCCCCCTCGATGCCCCAAAGCAACACCAAGAGGCCCCCAAGAGGCCTCCAAGATGCCACCAGGAGGCTTCCAAGAGTCCAAACAGGACGTCCAAATCATTCAATGACTAATTGGATGCTGCAGGTTCTGAATAACTCGCCTTTTCGCCCTCGATGGGCCGGCCTCTCAGGCTTCCAGGTGTCCTCCAGACGGCCCTCGCGGCTACAAAAACCACAGAAGAGGGCCCCGAGAGAACCTCCCAGCAAATTCCAGGAGGCCCCCCCACCCACCCACCCCTAGCGTCTCCAAGAGGCCACCTGGGGCACGTAGTCGGCCGGATGTTCCAGGCATAGGGCCACCGGTAGCATAGAGCCGACGATGACGATGACGATGTTTACGTTCATTGTGGGAATTGTGAGGAGGTAGATGGGTAAGATGATGACAGTGACGATGAGCACTGTTTGCACAGCGGCGTTACATGTTGATAGTCATGGAACTGATAAAGGATATGATGATTCGGATGAGGATGAGGACAAGGATTAACTTGATCATCCAGATGATAATGGTGATGACATCAGTGGTGACGATGTTGCTGTTGTTGTTGGTGATGATGATGTTGCTGACGATGATGATGGTGGTGATGATGGTGATGATGTTGATGATGGTGATGATGCAGATGATGATGATGATGATGATGATGCTGATGATGATGATGATGATGATGATGATGATGATGATGCGCGAGTTTGACGAGGATGGCTAGCAGCAGTGGGCCGATGATGTTCCCCGTGATGATTATGAGGATTATGATCATACATTTGGCGATGAGTATGATGAAGACTGGAGTATGAGGGTGAGGACGGGGATGAGGAAGAGGGTTAGGATGGGTTCGACAATGTCACGCGCTTGTGCATGACTGCGCTGTCCAAGCTCTTCAGCGCCTTCGTCCTGCGCTAGAACCATCGCGCGCGCGAAGCGCCCGCGATGGTTTCACTATATACCAATATATGTATGTGAATTTATATGTATATACGTAGATATGTATGCGTATACTCGTCTGTTTGTGTGTGTCTCTGTTCTCTCATTATGTCTTTGTGTCTCTCTCCCACTTCTTTTCTTCCTCCCTACCATTCTAAGGGCAAGCATTAACGATCCTCTTTAACTTTCGCTGAGTCCACTACCGATGAATCATCACCCACCGTGCTCACGGGAGGGTGTACCGATGAATCCATCACCCGAGAGGGTGTCCCCGTGCTCACGGGTCAATTGTGATCTTGTCATTGCAAGGCAGGGGCGCGTTCGCTAATATCGGGAGGTCGCAGTCGCAGCACTCGGTATGGCCCTTGTTGAGCATATACTTGCTCAAAACATGTCAGAGAAGCGCAGGCGAGTGCACCAGACTCTGGCCCGCCCGCTTTGGCCCAGTGATCCAAAGTCTTCATCTTTTCGATGCGGGGCCCCCGGGAGTCCCGACCTATTCCCCGGGGCCCGTTTTCCGTCCCGAGTAGTTGTCTGGCGGCTCCTCGGCCTTGCGACGGCCTTAAGAGGCCGAAGACGATAGTATCGGTGTCACCCCATCATGCGTCTACCATATGTGCGTCGCGCGCACCGAGTAATCTCACAGTATAGGCGTCGTGGCGGGCGCTTCCTGGCCACGCCGCTCGGGAAACGATATACTACAAGATGAGTGTGCTATGTGTTCGGGTCGGACGCGCGCGTCCAAGGAGGACATATAGTATTAGTATGTCTCTTCGCGTCCTACAGTACGCTGTCTTGATGTTTCGCCGCGCTCGCCGCAGGCAGCACGGCGATCGTCGTGCTGGTAGACTACAGCGAGGACGACGGGCGGCCGAAGAGGCTGACGGTGGCGAACTGCGGCGACTCCCGCGCCGTACTCTGCCGGAACGGCGAGGCTCCGGGCTTCCCAGGTGGGGTTAAGTCGGGCTTGCCCCTCTACGGGAGGGATCTGCAGGAAGAGTCCAACATTAGTCTGGGGACTGTTTTTTTGACTATGTTTGAGCATTTGGGGAATAGTGTTTTAGTATTTTTACAGTTTCGCCTAAAATCCCCCCGTAGGGGGACACGCCCGACTTAAGATTGGGTCCGAGTAGATGCGGTCGGTGGATCGTGCCTCATCGCCGACTCATCGCCGACACGGCTCGATGCGGAGGCCGAGACCTCCTCCATGCCGACGTTGCATCGCCGATGCATTGACGGTGCGGTGTGATCTTCCGACGCCATCTACAGTCAACCCGCATAGCAAGGATGGGCAACCTTTGCATCTTTGCCCCTTCGGCCCATCCTTAGCGACTCTCGCTGGCCAACCTCGTTCGAAAAACGCCAAGGTGCCCCTCCAAGGCCCTTGCATCCTCACCGCGCATCCTTCTGATGCGGGTTGACTCTGTACTCGGACCCCATGCGGAAGTGCTCCTTAGAGGCGGTGGAGCTGTCGCAGGACCACAAGCCCGAGCTGCCCGCCGAGGAGGAGCGCATCAAGGGCGCCGGCGGGCACGTGGCGCTCGCCGGCGTGTGCCACCGCATAGACGGGTGGTCCGGGGCAGCGCGGAGCATCGCGACGGGATGGTTTTTATGGCTGTTGTCGGCCTCTGGGGGCGCCCCCTGGCCCTGGGACCGTCAGACAATAGCTCGCGATGAAAACTTGCCCCGGGGAACGGGAGTGGTTTCTTATTATTAACTGGCCTGCCGTTCGGCGCGGGTCCTCGCACCCATCCCCCTCCCCCCCGATGGACTGGATCTTGGCTGTTGTGGGCGCCTGTTTCAGGCAGGTGCACGGCTCCGCACAGGATTCCCAATGGGAGCACTGCTCCAAACAGTCGCACGAAGGAGAGATCCAGAGCCAGACGCTCCCCTCCCCCCCATCGTCCGCTCAATGTCGAGTCGCCGAATCAGAAAACGTTCACCATGGGTCGGGACTTCCAGCGACCCCGTCTTGAACACATCAGGATCTTGCTTGCCTGGGAGTGCACGAGGCTCGACGTTTGCGGACGCGTTCGTCGGTCCTCGGCGGCTTCTGAGCCTCGGGGAGCCGCCTTGCAGTTGCTGCGCCTCGCCGAGGAGGAGGAGGAGGAGGAGGAGGAGGAGGAGGAGGAGGAGGAGGGAGGACGAGGAGGAGGAGGAGAAGGAGGAGGAGGAGGAGAAGGAGGAGGAGGAGGAGGAGGATGGAGGAGGAGGGGGGGTGGGGGGGCCACATCTCTTCTGTCGAAGGACCGCCGGAGGCCCGGGCTGTGACCCGAAAGCCAAGGGACAGGCTCCGGGGGGAATGTGTCGACCCCAGTCGCCCGTTCAGCTCCGATCGTGGGTGGACAGAACCCCCAACAGTGACACGTCGATTAGTGCATTGTCCGTTTTCGGTTCTCGAGAGGGCGCCGCGGCCGTCATTTTCCAGGCTCGCGCCCGCCAGGTTTGTGCCTCAGGTCGTTTTCACTAAACCACGTTTTGCTAAAGGGGGGTCTGTCCATCCTCGATCCGAGATTCGAAGAAGAGACAACGCCATGAACATAAACGTTTTGGCGCTCCGCGTGGAGTTCTTGGATCCGCGCTGTGCCCCCCCTGGCGGCGCCTCAGGCGCCGCTCCTGGCGCGCTCCGCGCGCCAGGGAGGGGGGTCCAGCGCAGATTAAACAAATCCGCGTGGAGCGTCGAAAGTTTACATTTATGGTGTTGTTTCCTCCCTCTAGATGGGCTCAATGGCCCGTCTCGGACCGTGTGGACATGCTATCAGACGCCTGTCGCCGACCCATCGGCGACGGATCGCCGATTCCCTGTCAACGTTTTTCCTCTCCTGAGCCGGTCCCCGTCCTGACGTTGCCCGTCAGGTGGGGCCTGAACCTCTCCCGCGCACTGGGGGATTTCCACTACAAGTCCAGGGCGGACCTGCCGCCAGAGAAGCAGAAGGTGTCGTGCGTGCCAGAGGTCCGCGGAGACGCGCGGACCACCACCGCCACCGAGAGCCCGGGGGGGGGGGGGCGGGGGGCGACCCCTAGGCGGCGGCAGCGCCCGAGCGTCGCTCCAGCACGACGCGACGCCCAGGCGCGCCACCGCCCAGGGGCCGCCGCTCCCCCCCCCGAGGGCTCCTCGGCGGCGGTGGCCGCGATGCTCCCGCGCCGGAGAGGTCCGGTTCCTGGAGCTCACCGGGGCGGACGAGTTCCTGCTGCTGGGGTGCGACGGCATCTTCGAGCTGCACAGCTCCCAGGCGGCCGTGGACGTGGTGCGGGGAGCGCTGCGGGCGGGCGGCTCCGTGGCCGGGGCCGCGGAGCTGCTGGTGGACAGGACGGTGGGCCCTGTTGTCCACCACCACCACCAGGAGTAGGAGGGGGAGGGGATCCTCCTCCTCCTCCTGCTCCTCCTCCTCCTCCTCCTCCTCCTGCTCCTCCTCCTCCTCCTCCTCCTCCTCCTCCTCCTCCTCCTCCTCCTCCTTCCCCCTCCAACGTATGGTGGTGGTGGTGGAAAACAGGCCCAGCACAGGAGCTGCAGCCCAGACCTGATGGCCACCAGGGGCAAGGGAGGGGACAACTGCAGCGCCATCGTCGTCAGGCTACGATGATGCTCGGAGGACAAAGTCGGCATATGCATAACGTCTCTGAGGTTCGCGCGGGTTTCTTGTATTGGCGTTTGGGACCCCTCTTGGCAGCTTCTCCAGCGCCGGCCCTGGCGCGCTCTGCACGCCAGGGATGTCTGGTCCAGCCCCGATCCAAGAAAGCCGCGGGGACCTCCAACAGTTTATGTTTATGTAGGTGTTGCTTCCTCTGGATGTTAGGTCGCCTGACTGGCAGACGCCCGTCATGCGCGGGCGTGCGCTGTTCTCTCATTCAGGTTGTCACCGTTCGGCCTCATCGCACATTGTGGCATTAGTTACCCTGGACCTTTTCAATACAGCGGTCAAGTTCTCTGCCGCTTGTGCCTCCCCCTCATGTCTGCCTCGGCCTTACCTCCAGCCTCTTCGATACCAGAATAGTTCACTAGGCCTGATGCGCACAAGACGCTGAAGCACCGCCTGCCACAATCACAGAGAACGAGTTGCCAGTTGTGGTGACGCGTTCTGAGGCGAGACGCTTTGACATTGTGGGGTATCTGTGGCAGAGACGGGGACGCGAGCGTCAAGCGGGCGTGGCGCGGGAACTATCTCATCTCCTCATATTGGTCTTTGATGGTTTCTTGAGAGGTCTTTGAGGCGTCCACGGGGCTCACCGAGGTGCCTTACACACAAGTCAGTTGACCGTCTCATGGGTGGACTACAGACTTGACCAGCTCTGAGCAACTCCCACTCCGCCCCCCACGCGTGACACCTACAGTCAGTCCGCAGGGAGCGACGAGTCTTGTAGATTCGACGCTGCGGCACGACCTTGCACGTCCACCGAGGACAGGGAGGGAGATGCGGGGATCGAGGAGGGAGTCTGAGGAGAGGAAGGATCGATGGTAACTTTCGAGTCCGCAGGGGGTCGCACCTGACAATGGAAGGGCTCGTTTGAATCAGGTCAAGCGTTAAACCCAGGAGAAGCGATCGTGCCAGGTTCCTCGTCGTTCTCGCCTTCTCCGGTCTCTGTACTCAGCAGTGGCAATATCTTTGGAGTCAACGGTGTGGTGACAGACCGTGCGGTGACCTCGGAATCCCCCAAGACCTCACCGCACGGTCCGTCAACGCACGGTTTTGGGACCTCGGATGCCCCAGTCGCCTCAGGCGTCCTCGGAGAACGACCCGAGCCCCACAACCGTGCGGTGACCCCGAATCCCCATCGACTCACCACACGGTGTGGTCACCACCCCGTTTGGGGGCCCCCGAATACCTCTTTCAGCCCGCCTCTGCTGTTGGGCCCACGCTTTTGGGATCCGCAGCGCAGCGCGTCTCCCTCTTCCTCCTCCTCCTCCTCCTCCTCCTCCTCCTCCTCCTCTCTCCGTGCCCCGCTCTCCGTGCCTCCGCCGCATTCGCCGCCGCCCTGGTCACCCTCGCGGCGAGCACTCATGACGTCCAAACGAACGGGCGTTGACAGGAGCTTTCTCCCCCTGTCTGGCGTGGCCTTCTCGCAGTCCCTGGAGGGCCTCTGGCCATCTTGTCTTGGGTGCGGTCGTGCTACAGGGCTCCCCGACAGAGGCTCCGTGGAGCCACGTTCGGGCCGCTTGGTCGCGTGTTCGGGCCGTCTTGGCGAGTCGCGCGGCCTTCGGGCCAGGGAACGTCTTGGGGGTGGCCAGGGGAGGGAAACGAAGAAGAAACAACCATATAAACATAAACTTTTGGCACCCCGCGCGGATTTCTTCCTGGATCCGCGCTGGGACCCCCTGGCGGCGCCTCCAGCGCCGCCCCCCTGGCGCGCCCCGCGCGCCAGGGGGGGGGGGTCCAGCGCGGATCCAAGAAATCCACGCGGAGCGCCAAAGGTTTATGTTTATGTTTTTTTTAATTGTTCTATGGAAGGCACCATGTCAAGAAACCATGTTCAAATGTCTGTTCCCAGCTCAAACCAGGACGCGATGTGCAATGCGGTTTTGGGCGGGGCATAGCTATTCACCGTGAGCAGACGGGGCTCGGGTGGAGGCGGGTGGGGTACAGAATGGCCCGCAACGATTGGAGGTGGGCGATTTTGTGTGGTTGGGACAAGGCATCTGTCTGGGAATCTGGCACTGGATGGTGGAGTTGTCCTCTTGGCCAAGGCGGAGCCATCCTCTTCGCCCTCCGTTTCCCGGCCTGGTACCGTTCCCGCCCTGTCGCTTCGACGAGCCCATTTGAACCGCCTCAGCGTTGGCTCAAGCCGGACAACCCTCGGTTGCTTTTCCCCCCCCGCCGCCAGACCGATGCCTTTGCCGCAGCCTCGGGTGCTGTTGGCGCCTATGATAGCACATTGCCCACGCCTGCTGCGCGCCCTGGATCTGGACTGGCTGGCATACTCTGACGCTGCAGACCTTCCCATGTCTGAGAGATGGCGGGACGATATGCGGCAGAGGCTCGCGCGTGTCGACACGCAGCAGCTCAGTCCGCAGCAGAAGATGAAGCACAAGACGCTCCAGCGACGACTTGGCAAAGCTGCGGCAGGGCGCCCCACGCCGGCCGACGGCGAGGGTGCAGGCTGGCCCAGGAGCCTGGGGCTGCTCGCTGTGCTGCTGGCTCTGTGGATTCCGCCTGCAGGCGCGCTGTGGCTCTACACCATCGGATGGCGCCACGTGCGCCTCCAGCGATCCGGGTTTGACGCCTTCGGGCTTCGGCCGCACGTACCTGCTCTCGCCTTCGCTGCGTTTCGGCTTCGGGCCCTCGTCGGTCCCCCTCGTCGCTGTGAGGTTGTCTGGGAGTGAGCGCTTGACTGCAGCCTCCAGCCCACGTCCAAAACAGAGCATCCTTGGCCTTGGATTTAAGTCGGGCATGCCCCCTACAAGCGGGTTTGGGAAGACAAACGTCAAACAGTCAACCAAAATTCAACAATAGTCAAAAATAGCATACGAATCGATCCCATATTCCTCAATCAGAGCTTGCCTCTGTAGGGGTCCTAGCGGATCGGTATGGTTAGGTGAGGTTCGGCGCCGATTTCGGTGGCCAGCCCAAGTGCCCCGGTGCCCAGGGGTGCCCGGAGGTGACGGGGGGTGCCAGGAGGTGCCTTGGGGTGCTGGGAGGTGCCCGGGGGTGCCCAGGTGCCCGGGTGATCCATCGCCCTGTAGCCTTATAGCCCCACAGCCCTATAGCCCCATAGCCATACAGCCCTATAGCCCCATAGCCCTATAGCCCCATAGCCCCATAGCCCCATGGCCCCATGGCCCTGGTAGCCCTACAGCCTTAGAGCCCTATAGCCTTACAGCCCTATAGCCATATAGCCCTATAGCCTTATAGCCCTACAGCCCTATAGCCCCATAGCCCTATAGCCCTATAGCCCTATAGGCCTACGGCCCTATAGCCCCATACCCCATAGCCCTACAGCCCTATAGCCAAATAGCCCTATAGCCCTATAGCCCTGTAGCCCTGTAGCCTTTCAGCCCTTAGCCCTGTAGCCCTAGAGCCCCATAGCCCTGAGCAGATTATGGGTGGGTTTTTCTCCGGTGTCATAGATGCTTTAGAAATTCTTGGATCTTCCCCCTTCAGAGGAGCATGCCCGACTTTGCCTTGCACTCGTCAAGCCAGGATCAAGCCCAGCAGGGCATCTACGAAGAAGGGGGGCAGCGCGCCGGCCGCTCGGGCGGAGCGGGCGGCGCCGGCCCTGAGATCCCGGCGTCGCAGTAAGCTCGCGTCGGGGGCCTCTGCTTTGCTTCGGGCCCCCGGGAGCAGACGGTGATGATGTTACTCGGGAGCCTTGAGACGGGGGTCAATACAGACAGGGGTCAGCCAGGGCGCCAGATCCTGCAGGATCCTGCGAAGACCCCCTCTGGCTGACCCGGGTTAGGGAGCCGCTCGTGGCCGCGAGGCGGCCGCGCGTATTGGCTGACCCGGGTCTGCGAAGACTTGCGGTGCAGTTTTGTTTTCCTGCATTGCAGTTTTGGGTTTCCTGCTGACCCGGGTCTGGATTGACCCGGGTCAGAAGATCCCCGAGTTACAACCTTCTTTCAGGCGATCGCAAACATGGATCAAGGGGGCGTGGATTAGCGACGGGTCCCGCTTCCATGGGACTTCGCGGAAGTCCGCCGCCGAGCGAGGCGGCAATGGCCGCATCTTGGGGAGGGCACCTCCCCCGATCCATGGATTTGGCGACCTCGCGCCAAGTCCATGGATCGCTAGTCCATGTTTGCGCGCCCCCGATACTTTAGCCTCTAGCCCGAATCACCAGAAAGAATTTCGAGCACCAAGGAAGCACCGAAACTCGAAGTTTTTCGCGTGTCGGGCCCCGACACTGTTTCGACACTGTTTCGACATTGTTCGACACTTTTCGGGGTGCTCGACATCATGGGATGCGGTCTTTCAGTACGATGGGAGAACCATAACCATACGGATCGATCCAGCTCGAAGCATGGGGCAGCACAGAAAGAAGATGGTGATCGCTGTTTTATTCATAGTTTTGCTGGCGCGGGCCCTCGCCCCCCCTCCGCCTTCCCCCCCATGGAGTAAATCTTGGATGTTGTTGGCGCCTGTTTCGAACAGGTGGAGCCTCCCCCATAGGACGCACTGTTGCAACCAGTCGCGCCAGGCGGAGGTCCTGAGCCAGTCCCCCTCCTCCCCCCGCCCCCTTCCGCCCAGTGTCGAAACGCCGAATAAGAAAACGCTCACACGGGGTCCAGGGCTTCGTGTAACGGTCATTGCCGGGGCCCCCCCGGGTAGCGGAAACGATGGGATTGTAGGGGTGGTGCGTGGACCCCCCAAACAGGTTGGTGGTCGCGCGCATATTGTAGCGATCGCAGCGCACCCCCGCCCCCGCCCCGATTGTGCCCCACCCCGCCCAAGCGTTGCCGCTACGCCTCCCCCGCCCGATATCCCACCTCGGATAGCGACCGCTACCGGATGTGAGGAATATTTGCCAGCGTGGACCCCAAACAGTCGTTATACCAGAGTGCAATCAAGGTGCATCAATCTATCAAGATGGTGCAACCTATGTAGTGCAATTGACTACCCTGCACCGCGCCTGACCACCTCCACTGCTCGCGCAAACATCCCACCCACCCACCCGCAACTTGGTCGCAAGACTTCTTAAGACAAGACCGTGGCGGTAGGTACCACATGGCATTTGGCCACGACGCCGACGACGACAGCGACAACGACGACGACGGCGCCGCCGACACCGACTACGACGACACCGCCGACGTCGACGTCGACGAAGACGACGACGACGACGCCGACGCCGACGACGACGACGACGACGTCGCCAACGAACACGACGACGAGGGAGGACGGAGGACGACGACGGCGACAACGACGACAACGACGATGGATGAGGGAAGACGGCGACGACGCGAACGACGAAGAAGGAGTAAGGACGGCGACGCCCACGACGACAACGACGAGGGAGGAGGGAAGACGAAGACGACGACAACGAGGACGAAGACGACGGCGACGAAATAGGAGGGACGACGACAAGACGCCGACGACGGACGACGACGACGACGAGGGAGGAGGATAACGACGAGGGAGGAGTGAAGACGACGACGACAACGACGACGGCGACGAAATAGGAGGGACAACGACGAAACGCCGACGACAACGACGAGGGAGGAAAGACGACCACGGCGACAACGACGACGGAAGCGACGACGACGCCAAGACGACGACGACGACGACGACGACGAGGGAAGACAGAAGACGACGACGGCGACGACGACGACGACGAGGGAAGAGGGAGGACGACGACGACGACGACGACGCAAGAGCGCGCGCGCACGCTTTTGTTGAACATCCGTGTTGCGAAACATTGAGATTTTGTAGGTTTTTTGGACGCGCGATTTTGAAATCCTTCCGAAACCGATGGGTTTTGAAGGATTTTGGCGTACGCGCGCGACGACGCGCGCGTCTGCACTTCGTCCCGTTTTTTGCAGAGGATTCTCGCGACGGCACACGCGCAAGGGCGTTCGACAGATTTCGACATGCGCGCGCGATATGCCCGTTTGGTAGCATTTTGTGAAAATCTTGAAAAACAATTGTTTTTTTTTTATCAGATTTCGCACGAACTCGCGCGGGAGCTTTTTTAGCAAATCAGTGTTGCGAAACCTTGTGTTTTTGTATGTTTTTTGGAAACTCGATTGCGAAATCCTTCCGGCACCGAAGGTTCTTTGAAGTATTACGGCATGCGCGCGCGACGACGCGCGCGAGCGCACTTCGTTCCATTTTTTGAAAGGAACCCGTGGGAAAGTGTTATGTTAGAACCAAAAAATGTCACCGCATTGTTTTTTATTAATAAAAAAGGGGACCCTCAGGGGTGGGGAAACCTACCTGCCTGGGATGGTATGGTTTTATATTTAGGATGGACGAGTGTGCAGAATTTATCAAAAATTATATTATCCTAGGGGGAAGCGTTAAGTCCGGGGGGGGGAAGAGTCTATTCTCTGTTTAGAAAGGAGAATCAATTTCTGTTCGCAGTGAATTGTCAAGTCCACTGCTCGCAAAATCCTCCCACACACCCACCCGCAACGTGGTTTGCAAAACCCATGCAGTGGCGATTACGATGCATGCTTGGCGTTGGCTGGTGCATCTCTGCGGCCGCGCCAGCCCAGACGCGCGCGCAGCGGACAGCTAGTTTGCCGCGACCGACGCGGCCGCGGAGAGCTGACCGCTGGGCACATCTCAGCGGGCACTTCAGTGCGAGTCGGCGACTTGGGCGGGCGCGGTATCATGACAACGTCGACAACGGGAGACACGATGATTATAGTAGCGGTGCTGGTGGCGATGCTGACAACGACGATGGTGCGGCCATTGCGGGCGCCGATGCTGATCACGCCGGAGATTTGGCGACGACGACGGCGTTCCCGCGTCGGTGATGAAGGTTTTGGAGAGAGTTCGACATGCGCGCGCGGCCGACGCGTGAGAGCGGCCCGAATGGTTTTTGGGGGACAGGGATCGTGCCCCCTCCCAGCACGCGCGCAATGGCGCGCGAATTATGCTGGCGTTCGGCGCCAGAGGCCGGTTTGACAGAATTCCTTGAAAATGGTTCTTCCAGATTTCGCAAACAGTGCGGGCGCACGCTTTTCTTGGTCGTTATTTTTTAAAATAAAAAAAAGGAAACAAACTGACGTTGCGAAACCAGGTGTTGTTGTACGTGTTTTGGACATTTGGTTGTGGAGCCACTACGGAACCCCATTTGTTCACGGAGTTCGACATGCGCGCGCGACGACGCGCGCGCGTGCAGTTCGCATCATGTGTTGCAAAGGTTTCTCGCGACGGCGCGCGCGCAACGGCGCTCGAACCATTTCGACGTGCGCGCTCGATACCCCGCTTGGTATCATCTGAAAGTGTTGAACAGTTTTTGGTTTTCTTACACATTCGCAAGAGCGCGCGCACATACTTCTTTTGAGCAGCCGTGTTGCGAAACCCGGTGTTTTTTTTTTCCATGTATCATGGACACTTGTTTTGACAATTCTACGAAGCCGACGTTTTTGAACAAAAGAAAGATTTCGACATGCGCGCGCAGAGGATGGTGGGGGTGGCGTTTTTTCCCCCCGTGGGATGGTGTAAATTTATATTTCGGTTGGGCGATGGGGCAGAATCGCATGTAAATCGCCATGCGAAAAAAGAGAGGTGGATAATCA